AGGCCTCATATTCTATCATATGCCTACAATGTGTTTAATTTGTATAAATGATTTTAATAATTTGGAATAACTGATTATTTTTTTTTTTATTAAATGTGTTTTCTGTCAGTAGCTTGATACATTAGTATGTTTGAATAAACAAGATAATTACCATAGATATCTGAATAGTGTACGCTTGTATGTTGATATTGTTTAAAAGGATAATTAACGCTTGAAACAGTAGTCCTTCGCCATATGTCTATTTTATAATTGCTGAAGACTATTACTGTATTATAGTACTTAAGTTTGGTGTGCTAATTGTGTTGAATTATAATATCATTAGTATTGTATAATTTCCAATAATTCTATAAATATATGGAAATACAAGTGTATTTGAGAAATATTTTATTTAGCAGAATTTAATAAAAAAAAATGTTAAAATAGGCCTATTATGTATGCCTAGAGTATATTGAAGGCAGATTTAGTCATCACTCGCATTAATTGTTGTCTATTTGTAATGAGGCGTTAAATCACTTGGCTAAGTACACTCCCACTTCCTAAGTCATGCTCTATTGGTTTCATCAGGAGGACTTTGTACAGTACTTAAGGTGTGTCAGGTCTTAATTATTTGCTTCTCAGGTGATGAGTTAGCCGAAGGTAAAAAATATCTTTTTTATCTTTTTGATGATAAATTATTATAATGTAATTGTGTAATTCACCTGTTTTGAATGTAGTGGAAATGATACTAGTTAAATCAATAACTGTTGGTACACTGGCTGTATCTTATTCCTGTACAGTATATCAACACTGGAAAGATAAATGGTCAAAATTATTTGCTAATTTGATATTTTGCATCAGGAATTTTAATAGGAATGTCCTATCTGACATGCTATCTTACTGAATGCTTAGGGTGTTTAAAAAAAAAACAAATCTTACAGCTGTTAGGGTGGGATTTGAACCCACAACCAATGCATGGTGTCATAATCACTAAACCACCAAACTTGCACTACAAGGCTAGTGTTGAATGTGATAAAGAAGGAAAAGTGGCACTGCAATACTATAGGTATATTGATAGTGTTTTGTGTCAGGAAATTTAACATCATTTCTATAAATTTATTTGCATCATACAAATAAACTGATAATACTGCCTATATCAGCTAACATAATGATAATACTATTATTAAATACAATGGTATTCAGATAAAAGGGGATGACGGTACACTGGAAATGGATTGGTGTTTGGGTAGGGTTGTGTGGTACATTGGACTTTGGTGGTATGTATCACGGAGCATTGGTTATGGATTGGTCCCGATTCTGTGGTACATAGGCAGGTATGGGTAGTTGGTACATTGGGTGAAATGGTTGTTGCATTGGGTAGAGATAGGTTTTACCATTAGGGATAGGTAGTCATTCCTGATGATGACATAATTAATGTCGAAATATTGAATCCCAACACGATGGCGTGTATTTCAATACTTGGAGTATGTATTATACTTTCTTGGATAGGTAGTAAGTGCATTAATAGAAATGGACTGTGATACCATTATGGATGAGTGGTACATTGGGTAGGGATTGGTTGTACCATTATGGATACAGGTAGGTATTGCAATGGGTATGGATTGTACCATAATGAATGGGGGGTGCATTGCATAGGGATTGGTTGTGACTACACATTTGATAAGGATATACCGATATGTTGCATTTGATAGGCTTACAGTAGGTGCTACATTTTATATTACTATTGATTTTATAAAAAAGGTTTAGGTAAATATAATGATAAATGTTGCTGTGGATCATGTAGATATTGGATTGAATAGGTTTTGCATTGAATAAAGATAAATATTAGTATCATGCTCCTGATGTTCTTGATTAAAATCAGTGGTTTGTGCCACACAGTAAATTTCCAATTTCTCGTAATTTCATTATTATAATTTTTTTATGCTCAATTTTTAGAATCTTTCGTTGCTGGCTGAATTTATACTTTCAGGTCTTTGTTCCGAACAACATGATTCTTTGCAGTTATAATTTATTCTAAGTTCACTTCTTCTTTCAGTTTCCATATTAGTGAGTTGTAGTAATATAGCATCATACCTAATATGAAAGTCGAGAACACGACAACCATAGGGCGTTGGTTTAGTTTAAATTTCAGATTTTGTCTTTGTTTGCTAGTTTAAGCACACCAAGTCCTTTATGGTTGTCTGATAGAAGGTAAGGACTGTTATTAATACTTAAGTTCACTCCGTTACACTTATTTTATGTGACTATACCGTAGTAAGCCGGATCCAATTGGGCGAGGCTTAGCATGTTTATATGGTCTAAATGCAGCCAAAATGTAGATAACTTTGAAGTGAAGACTTTAGGGATTGAATTATCCAAATCATGTGGAGCTCATCGCAGTGTCCAAATTAATATGTTTACAGTCAATATTAGGTGGTCTCTTGTAAATATTTATCATTGTAACCTGGGGAATATTGTGTTTGTGGGTTGTCGTTGATACCGTAAAGAGACAGGCAGGCACAAGATATTCAATAATGTCATGTTTTAATTCTTAATCTATGCCGGTACCATGGATCGTTTCCATGATGCGTGTGTGTCTCTCTGAATGATTGACTGACTGACTGACTGATGTCTCTAACGACACATGACATCACAGCAGGGTCAATGAGATTTCCATAAACCATAGATGATTTTTTTTCAATTGGTAGCTGCAGCAAGTAGAGTATGTAAAAAGAAGAGAATTCATTTTACATGTAAATGCATTGAACTCATAGGTACGGCATGAGAATACCGTCTGCATTGTAATAGAAATAGAGGTGCGCCCTCGGAAACATTATATTGAAATGGAAGTGCGCCAGCTACATCATACTGTTGTCCCATAACACTACATGCCTATATATGGTCATGATGACATCACATCATGACCATATATGGGCACATCATGACTATATACGGGTAACTAAAAACAACTCCGCTCCTTATCCTCCTAAATAATAAAAAAAAACTTCGCTGATAAAAGCATCACATTATTTCATTTATTTAAGAGAGCCCCTCAGTATCAGCCAACCTTCTAGGATACACTGGAAGGGTCATCCTCTATAAATCCGTAAAATAAAAAAATGTCATCTATACTTGATCTAAGTTGTTATATTAGATGTTATTTGTAACTTTCATTGATAATAATTGATAATACTTAATATGATCATGCACTCAACTGATAATTTCATAGCAATGCAAACAAACATGATGAGAACTAAAAAATTCAGCTTATTATTTCAAAACAACAAATTTTTGTCAAGAAATTTTGAAAACAGTTTGCTAAATTTGGGACTTACAGTATATATCCAGTACCCTATTAATTGCCATCATTCAACCGTAATTTCAACAGAGTTAACTTTCAGTCATTTTGATAGTAATCATTTTATAATTACGGCATGAACTTTGAATTGTAGTTTCCAGCTGATGTTTAAGATGTTTTAGATGTAATTATTATTATTTCATTATTTATTCTGTTCAAGAGTTGAGTATATTAAAGTGCATTATTATGTCAAGGTCAAGAGTCAGTTCAAAGGTCAAACAAACTTTCTGCTTGGCTCCGCCTGTTACATATTGTTGCTAAGGTCCCACAAAATGATAGTGTTAAAGACACGCAAACGTGTTTGCGTGTCAACATGTGTTACACGTGCGCATATTCCTGGCCTGATTGGTAAATAGTTAACTGAAATGATCCAATAGGGCGATGCAAATTTATATCTTGCATATTGATAATAGTAACTGTGACATCAATCAATTTTTATGCAGCCACTGAAATTATGACAGTGAGGGGATGGAGGCGGGGGTGGGGAGGCATACAGATACAAAAAAAGAAAGTTAATGTACACTACAGAGTATGTTTGAATAGCTTATGAAAGTGAAAAAAAAGAGGTGCCCCAAAAATAGATAGAAGAGAGTATTAAAAAGAAAACCTTTTTTTTTATATGGCCTGATAATACAAAGTTTAAAACTAAATCACAAAGGATTATGGCAAACCCTTGTCATTTCCCTTTATGCAAAGTAGCTATTGTTAAATGCTGATCCGCAAACTGTCTATAAAATCATTTACTGTAGTCTAGACTGGTTTATATTCACAACCTGAAGGCATGGTACAGTTTATTAGTATTGCTATGCGAATTCCTAGCATCTAAAGATCTATATATCAAGTATTTTATGGTTGAGAGGCATGCCAGCAGTTTTAACTATACATTGTTATTAATACATGTGTTTTATGTTTATACTGTTGAAAAAACGATAAATTATGTGGTTGGGTTGTTTGTTTTTTTTTTAAGGTGTTTTCTTTACTATTTTAGAGTGACAGTATCAGTAAATATGGGCTGGCAATATGCCAAATTCACAGATGGTCAATTTATTTGACGCGCTCAAAATAAGTAACCCTGTAATTTGATAACCAGATGAATATTATGCAATAAACAGGTTTAAGTAAATAAATGATACAGGATGAAAATAAACAAAATGAGTTACAGAAACTGAGATTTATTGAATGAACATTTCAATTGATTACATTCTTATCTTTAAGGTATTATTTTTATTATTATTTTTATTATTATTATTGTTATTTTTTTTTTATATCATTTACATAGCACTATTATTTTATTATTATTATTATTATTATTATTATTATTATTATTATTATTATTATTATTATTATAACCACAATTTAATTTTTGTCCTTGAAGCTTGGTTTGACAGTATACCTAGTATGCATACCATTGTGACATTTGACCCTAATGGCACTGTTATATTATTGATTTGAAGAAGATATTACCAGTACTTTGAAATTATTAGAATTCTAACAGTATGAATTATCACTATTTAATTGTCATTGTGATTGTATTTAAAAATGTACTTTAGTGCATTACATATTGTGGAATTTCTTATTCATATGCAAATAATTTGGATGAAATCTAATTATTTATATAGTTTGTCATATAGTATTTTTAACAAAATTGAATTTGTGTATTTTACAGATTGTAGGAGAATGAGAAATGTCGTTATCGGAGCGGCGCCCTTCAATCCTTACTCTTGCCAGCATCAACTACCCCGATTTGGTAAGTTATGGTTCATTTCAATTTGTCCATTGTTTATGTTCAATTGCCTTCATTTCTATATAACCTTTGACCTTCCACCTAGTTAGGTTTCTACAAAAGTTAAGTCTGTCTTAATGCCCATTCCACAAATTTTTCTAGATCAGTTTTACAGAGCTTACACAAATGCCAGATGGAGTACGGTATTATTAGCATGGACAGACACAATTCAAGACTCAAACAGATTCACTATTTTACCTAATTGAAATAAATTATTTAATTATTGCTTTCTAAATTATGTAACTTGCTCATAATGAAAATGTAAGTCCTAAAACAACTAATTACAAAAGGACATATAAATCAATATACTTTTAGCAGAATACATTTCTGTACAGCAATGGAAATTCTTCATACATAACAATGTAAATTTCTGACAATCGAGGGATATGGTAGAGGACAACATGCACACTTGAATAATTAAATTAATGAGGATTTTTAAATAGATTTTAGCATAGCCGTCTAGCACGATATTTATCTATACTGCTTCTAAAGGAGAAAGGCGCAATATTGGTCATTTTGGGGTTTGTCACTGATATCTCTTGAGTTAAGACATAGGCATTTTTTGATTTTTTTCCAAAAAACCAAGCTATGTTGATGATATTGATGCTATTTTTGTTGATATGTGTGTATTACAAAGATGCTTTATATCTGCTAACCATGAAATATATGCAAGTGAATCTGTTTTTATACTGATATAGCAGCTATTTTTGATAGTCGATATTTGTATATTATCTAAATGCTTTATTATTGCTATCTATCGATTGTATGAAAATATATGGCTTTGTTGACATGATATATCAGCTATTTTATAAAAAGAAAAACAAACATGTCAAATACGGAATAAGAATTGTCATCTCCAAAAAAAAAATCTCTGTTGGAACAATGTATTTATGTTGTCATGATTTGATTTTACAGGTAAATGAAATAATTGTCTACTCCTTCACAAGGAGATTAGTGATATATCTATCTCCAAAACCTCCAAATTACAAAAGCCTGAAAAATAAATCATCATGCAGCAAATACCAAAAAGGTCAAAAGGCATTCCTGGGCTTTCACATTTCATTAATCATCGCAATCATTTATATCATGTATTGTACTACTACTACTATCATAATACAAGTCAATGATGATGTCATCTCTGTAACTCCCAATATTATTTTCCTATCCCAACTATGCACTAATTTTTTCATTATTGCACTATTGACATTTTGCTGGTATAGTTACCTGTATATATAATTTATGACAAAAAAAATTTATTATTTAGGCGCATGGGCTTTGACGTAATGCCTGTGAGTTCTTGGGGGCAGGGTTGAAGACTCAGGCCCCAATCAAATGGCTCCTAACCAATCAAGTTCTACAATGCTGTTATTATTATAATGGTATTGAAAGTATTAAATTTACTATCCAGTATTTTGAAAACTATTAGTCATATTCTAGTTACTTTTAAAATGTCATAAAACAATAAAGAATTATATAATAAGCATATCGGTGGCTTTCCTTTTATTTTTAGATAACGTGTTTTTCTGAAAAACAAGTTTTAAATCACCTATTTTAATGAATTCTGTATTGCTAAGCTCTGCCTTCTGAATCTGACCCGCATTTGACCTTTACTGGATACGACATACACTCGGTACAACATAACAGAGGATGTTCGCGGGATCGCGACTCTTGGCAACACAAACATTAGATAGTAGGATTCATGGGTTTACGATTATTCTCACTTAATGCCTAGGGTAATCATACGCTGGAAATTCGGAGAGTAATTATTAAGTAAACATTCAAAACATTAGCAGCCCTCAAAATTAGCGTCGTCATCACGTTATGACCACAACGTAAAAGCGAGGATGTGAGTAGGCCTTGGCCTAGCTAGGCCCTATTCTCTGCATCCACCCCATACCACGGAGCCCGTACTCGCTACATAAATTAACAAATGTGTTTGAATAAAACAATAAAACTATTTGTTTTGACTTACTTTATTCATGATGATTAAATCTTACACAGAATACATGCATATTACTTTATATGCTTATGACAGCCGAGGTTGTTTACTTTTTGCTAGAATACGTGTTCTCTGCGTCTTTTCCGATGTTCTTCGCTCGATCTGAGCCGCTCAGCACAAATTTGTTTTGACTTAATATTAGTGATGATTAAGGGTTTAATTACAGTATCTTACAAAAAAAAATATACACGCATATTTTTATGCTATATTATGACGGACAGGGTTGTTTAATTCTTGCTTCAAAGCATACTTCTTCGTAGGGCGGATCACTTGTTCTCTACAACTTGGTCTTTCTTCAGATGTTCTTTGCCGACGCTCGATCGGGGCCGGCTCGACCCGATTTAACGGTATTTGGACATTTTGTGACGACGTTGATCAATGTGTTTGAATGAAATTAAAATTTCATTTGTTCAAATTCGCTTTCTAGTGGCTCAAATTAATAAAGCTGCTCCATTTCTTTGCTTCCTATTATTAATACTTTCTCAAGTGAACCTCTTTTATATATCGTGCTATACGATGTTTGTATTACATAAACAGGATGGCTGTGATTGTTATACCGAGTCTACGTCATCAGCTCTACTCGCACTTCAGTGAACATCTCCAGTGGGCGGGGCTTATACTAATATTTTTAACCCGTCATTTTTAATATTTATAAACCAAAAATCAAATATTTTACTACCACTCATTTGTTTAACATAATGTAATACTTCAAAAATCAGCAAATTAAGCATAATTTTAATTGGACTTTAAGCATACTAGGCAAACATACAATTGTTTCTTTCAAAACATAACAATTCGTATAGTATATTGCAATAATATGGACAGTACGAGGCATGGCTTAGCTTCAGGTTCCATTTATTTGTCACAAGGCAAGCCATATATGAAATACATTTACAAACTTGAAATGAGTAGAGCACAATTAAATCAAACAACACTTACAATACTATACAATGATTTTAAGAATATAATAAATATTCCAAAATATATTTAATGCAGTGTATAGGTTGCCAGGAAGCACAATTTGAGTTGGATTAGCCCCATATATTATTAATGTACATTAGTTATTATTGAACAGTCTTAATTGCCAGGAAATTACCTACTTCAGCAAGTAAAATATAAATTCAGTGTACGAGTCAAAATGCAATCCAAAATGTCGATAAAACAGAACGGTAATGCTTAGTCCTGAAATTCTGTGTTACAATTGGAAACTTGGAAGATGGTACAATAGATGAGAAGCAAACATAGTGTTTCAGGGCAGAAACAATATAGAAGGGAGGAGGCAGTATCAAGGGGTAGCAGGGGGGAGAAATTGGGGGTAGCACGGAGGTATGCAGAATAGAGGGTAGACAAGTGGCACTATAAGAATATGTTAGAGAGGAAACAATTTGAGTAGGATTAGAGTAGTAAGAAGAGGAGTTTAGAGGGATTAATAGGCCCAAGTAGTTGTTTTAAGTCTCTTCAGACTACTGTATTACATTTTATTTGACAAAAACATGTGATATGCTAAATATGGTCATGAGGACATCACATCATTACCACATAAAGGTACATCATGACTATACATGGGCATACAATCAGTATCCTTTTCAAAGATAACTTGATAGTGTGTGGAGAAGCGATTTGGCGCAGTGGGAACTGTTTGATTTCCTAACATCAGTGTCGGGGTTTCACCTGTGTCCTTGAGCAAGACACTTTATCTACGTTGCTTCTCCCCACCCAGGAGGTACCTGGTGGCGTTGCCTGCTCACTGCGCTGTTTACCAGTAGCAACATTTAAAGTATGTTAACCAAACAACCAGGGAAAAGGAACACTTTATATCTGCAAAGAAAGGCGCTATGTAAATGGTATAAATAATAATATAATAATAATAATAATAATAATAATAATAATAATAATAATAATAATATGAAAATAAGAAAAGTAAAACATTGCCAAATCGGAGATTTTGCAATACCGCACGATAATCGCATTGAGGAGAAAGTGATTAAATATCCAGATTTAGCAGAAGAATTGAAAAAATTATGGAAAATTAAAACAGTGATCATTCCTGTTGTGATTGGGACATTTGGAACAGTTCCAAAGAAATTAAACAAAAGACTGGAACACATTGGTGTAGAGACCAGAATAGATGAACTTCAGAAAAATGTGATTCTGAACACGACAAGTATCATTAGGAATGTCGTAGATAATAATAATGATAATAATAATAATAATAATAATAATAATAATAATAATAATATTAATAATAATAATAATAAAAGTAATAATAAAAATAATGATGATGACAATAATAATAATAATAATAATAATAATAATAATAATAATGTGGACAGAGTTTATAAAATTTGTGTGTCTGCTAAAGTATTATATTTTTATTGTCATTTAATTCTTGCAGGTCATCATAACAACAAAGTTCTTGATAATAAACAAAATACCTACACACTTGTCTGACTCATGTCATTAATATTTAGGAGTTTGAACTTAATATCAGCTTATAATATTAAGCAATTTACGACTTTAAGCTTTACATATATTTATATGTGCTATGTACTCTAAAACTCTTTGAATATAATACTGGTAGATTTTTGCTTGCATTTAGGCATTGTTCACTGTCATTTCTATATTGTGACAGCTTTTATGCCTTAAATTTATGATTTTTTAAAAATTAATTTTGTCCATACCATGCTTTTTATGTTATATGAAGAAAATGAAAATTGAGAAATATAAAAAATATGTTTGTATGTCAATTGTAATTAAGTTTTATGACCTGAATAACTGATTATGAACTGATATGAACTGAATAATTGCTATGTGATAAACAGCTAAATTGGACTCCACTCATTAAGTACAAGACTAATTCTAAATAACTCAATAACTGTCCAACATTCCTATAATAATGCATTGACCTAATTCTCTATTCTGTCAGTGTAATTTGTTTACTCATTGTAGACCTACCTGTACTTTACTAAATCTTCCACATGCATTTAAGCCTCTCTTAAGGTGCCTTTCACAACCCTTGGGTCATGAAAATCTGGAGATTTTTTTAAGGATCTTAAAAAAATCCGGAGATTTACCAAAAAATCTGGAGGTTTCCATAATTAACCATAAGACGATGCAAGATACCAAAAAAGTCATGTCACTGCAAATCATTGGCCGTTGGTGCGACATTCAAATTGAAATTTGCTGCTTGTTTATTGCACCGCGAAGTGAATACATTGAATAATAACGTCAAATCAAGCAAATTATACGTATATCAGTATTTTTGGGGAGGGGGATTTCCTGTGAAATCGGGTGAAAATTACATTCGATCCTGAGAACTGGAGATTTGTTTAAATATCGGGTGACACCCGACAGGATCGGGTGAGTTAGCAGGTCTACTTTCACTGGGTTTCTTAGGTGTTTTCTTGTTTTTTAGACATAATATTATAAGAAGGCAATATCAAACAACTTCTGTTTTTGAAATAAAATAATAAATATACAATTTCATCTTGTTATATTTTATTCAGTATTTTGGCGTATTTTTATGTCTCAAATTTAGTTAACGTCATGTATTGAGCCGCAAGGACCGGCAGTGATCGTACAAGCCACCGATGGACTTCCACTAACACCAATGCTATGCACAGCATTACAGAGCCCAGAAGAAGACTATCTAGGTGTGGAGGAGGCTAGAACCTTTAAAGAACTTGGTAAGCTATCTTTCCCCATACCATCATGACATCTGCGTGATATTTAAAGCTGTTTCCAGACTATCAAATCTTCTATGACAAAAAACTGATGTATGCCCATATATAATCATAATGTGCCTATATATGGTCATGATGTGATGTCATTCCGATGTCATCATGGCCATATTTAGGTATGTCACATTTTTCGCAAACAAAATTTGATAGTCTGGACAGGGCTATGACCCATATACTGTAGTAGGTTGACAGATAAAGTAGTTAGTAATGCTGATATCTGTTTAAAAAAAAATTCTGTGTAATCTACTTCCGTTAAAGTAAGTAGTTCACAGATTTCATTATCATGTCATTGTAAATGTTATCTAGGCTTAAAATTGAGCGTGTTATCTCAGTACCAAGTCCATTTCTGATACTACCACATTGTCACTATGTCTAGACTATGTAAATATATTTAAAAATTGGTCTTAGTATTAAATCATTTAGGACATAAGCTCAAATACACATTTTATTTTGGAATAATTGTACTAAAAGTTCAATAAATCTAATTTATTTATTTAGTATTGAAAACCCAATCATTTTAATAGCTGGAATAGGTTAAATATGGAGTATGTTACGAAAAATAATCAGGACTAGCGTATTGTACATTGATGTTTTTCTCTAGATTAGAGAACCACATTTTTGAAATGTATTACTGGTATGCACTTATAGACAGAAATAATGATGAATAAAGGCAACATTTGTCATTTCACTAGAGGGCAGCAGACATTTTGAGTCATTTGCTATAGAGGACAGCATTGCATTTTATTTTAATATGTTGTTTCTAGAAATAACCAGGTTCTCTAACTTTTTTTATTGGTAACCTATTATTATTGTAGTCATTAAATAGTGCTTTTTTTTTTATCAAGTTTAACAAAAATAAATGAAATGCAAAATTGTGATGGAAAAACAATTTGAACTTCAGTAATTTTGTATGCCCTCCTTAAAAGTATCCTATTTTTTCTACAAAACGCTTTTATTTTGATTTAATACTATTACTATTAATCTTTTTCAAAATGTTATACTGTACATTGTTGGTTGTGTGATCAATGCTTCTAGAGACTTTGATTGCATTGTCTGCTGCCCTCTATTGATTATCCTGTAGGATGAGTTATAATAATTAACATGCTGAGCTATAAAGTAAAGCATCGTTGTACTGCAATGCACATCACAACCAGATGTATGACCATTATGTATTGGTTGCCATGCCAAACACCGCTCCTTAACATGATCTTTATTAAAGAGTGGAATCATCTCCGAGTTAAGGGAAGAGAACTGATGTCATAAATGTTAGCCACTGTTTTAAATTTTATTCAGCATTCTGAGTGTCACCTGGCTCTAAGAGGTGACGTGGTAAATAGGTGTGTCTGGGGTAAGTGATTTAAACCGAAGTTTTTTTTGTTTTTTTAACTAGTGCTATCATTATAGGTGTCAACAATTCTGAATTAATGAGTTTTGTTACAATAATTATTTAACAAGGTTGAGCATGATTAGGTTTTCATTCATTTTGTGTTATATTTTTAAAATCTTTACACTATGTTTTTGTTTTGAGTTCTTACAAGTTGGTTTTCTTTTGGTTTGTAACTCATTCTATATATTATATTATATATAACTGGTGTTTAAATTGCACAGTATGCAACATTATGAGAGGTTGTTTGGTCCATTGGTTGGTTTGTTTTTCAGTTGTGTAACCTACGAGGGTCCCATTGATTTGTTTCAGCATAAGGTAATAGTGAGCCTAAAGCAGACCAGTTTTGTCACCCAACAAGATAAAACATTAGTTGTCTTTTAATTCTTTACAAAATCTAAACATTTATGTTTAAAACATTATTTCAGTATAATTTTGGTGATATAAACTGACAGTAGGTTTGCTTAATTGGTTAATTGTTCTTTTATGATTATTTTGGAAGTTAAATAGTTCATTCGTAACTTTTGATTGTTTTTAAAAAGATTTTTGTTCTTGGATTGAAATCTGATCGTTGTTTTACTAATGTTTTTACTAATCATTTTCAAATATTTATTCATCATTATAATGCCATATAT